GGTTCAGGCCCATCAATTGGATCCAGTCCATCTGGCCTGTGGGGTCATAAGGATGAGTATCACTGAACTAGAGAACCCCGAAGTCCTTTTCAGCCCTATGATTCAGGCAGTGTTATTGCCACTTTGGAAGTCATTGCATCTTTTGTACTGCCTGGTATGATTAGCTAAGCTACTTAGTAGCCATCAGATGTCACTTTGATAGTTTCCAGCACACTTCCACAACATTGCATACATTCCCCCCCACACCCACAAGTGCCCTGCAGATGGGCAGCACTCACAGCTGTTCATCTGGGGACCCCATCTCCTGCTAGCCCCCGTGACACATACTGCTTCACTCCAAGCAGCACACACTGCTGCAGGCAGACAAGAGATGTAGGGCTATGCTTTTCACCCCAGCTCATTCCCTTGCCCCTCCTACTCTCTCAGGGCTGGCTCCTGAGCCCACCAGGACCGAGTATCACCAATGTAAACTGGGTGATACTCTTTGATCTGCCTTATGTGTCCTGTTGCTCATCCCCTTGCCTCTCCAAATCCTCAGCGCCCGTCACATGCCACTTTTGTGCAGCCCAACACCTGCTAGACAGGTGTCCTTAGACTCTTGTCTGTTACAGGCCCAGGACCAGAGATGGAGGGAGGGAGGCAGGGGGAACTGCCCTGGGGTAACAAAGGGCAGAAACTGGCCCACCGATCCCTGGGGTGGTATAGAGCCATATGCACGGAGTCTACATGCCACATTGCAAGTAAATGTGCACAGGGCCAGGCAGGGCTGGGAAAGCACTTCTTGCTGGCAGCATGAAGTGGGAATATTACATTTGTATTATATTTGATATTATGGTATAATACATCAGTATAATTCATTAAATTCATTGACAATATAATTCTGTTTATAACATAACATTCACAATGTGCATGTAAGTGTTTGAAATGGGGTGCTGTTGAACTCTGACGTTAGAGAGGTGCCTTGAGTGCAATGAGGTTGAGAGCCACTGCTTCAGATGCCCCAGCCTAGAGAAATTCAGAATGACAGGTTTGGACCTCAAGCTTCATAGTTCAGGAGGGACTAGCACAAATAAGCATGTGACTCCAACTCTTCAGGTCATAACTACTTTGGGTCAGTATGTGGAAAAGGAAGACAGCTTGAAGGCTCGTAATGACATAAAGCAGGGCTGTCCAACTGGTGGCCTGCAGGCTCCTGCCCAGCTGCCACTCCTGGGGCTTGGGTGGCCGGGGGGGGTTTCCACGGCCC